AGTCCCAGCCACACTTATTTCAACCCACAGCCATAGATAATAGCAACAGAGTGCCACCGCTACTTCTCTTTCTGCCTTTGCCATTCAGGCCCATTGTCATTTTCTATATGCAATCCCTCCCACATGCAGTGATTGTCCACTTTGCGTGGGGCCAAAGCACACCAGTCCAGACGCGACCCAGCCCAGCTGGATGAGGCCGAAAAGTTACTGTTTTGGTGGTGGCCACTGAACCGCAGCCATCGGATCCGCCCAATAAACAGAAAATAATAGCCCGGCTTCACTACGGCACATTCTTGCACATTTGTCGAATAATGCGAATGACGTTGATTCGTTGAACAGACTCATTCGACTGATTCTGTTACTTTTTACAATGGAGAATGTTGCAAATTTAATTAATTTTTGTTTTTGTTTTTGGTATAAAAATGTCACTAGTCGATGCAATACAATTCTTGGAAGAAAAATTGTACTCCTTGGAATCAAACAATCTTCTGTTGCCTTGGACGGGAAATCCGAATTGCCAGTAATCGGCCAGTGAAACCACTTTCATGGGCGAATAGCGAATATACTGGCAGTGGAAACAGGTAAGCCGGAATAGAAGTAGCATTAGGAGTATGGGTAGGAGTAGAAGTAGGAATATATGTAGGATCAGCACTAGGAGTGGGACTAGTTAAGGATGCGAAGGATGAATGGATGGCGAGTGAGAGTGAATGAGAAGGCAGACGGCAGGCGTTTATCCTTTGGCCGGGCAGGCACAGGCACAGGCACAGGCACGGCATAACAGGCATGCAAATCGATTGATGTTGATTAGCATAAATTGTCTGGACCGCACTGTGCAATGAATAATTTCGGTGACGCTGACATGCCACGCCCCTGCATTCTGCATACTCGTATACGATGGCCAGCAGGAGGTATGGGAGCTGGAGTCTAAAGTCGGAGGGGGGGGTATGCTTTGTGCACTGGTTGCAACTTTCGCCATAATGCAATTTTGTTTTGCTTAATTTGATAGGCGTTGTCAGCTGCCGGGTGCCGGGTGCCGGGTGCCGACTGCCGGGTGCTATCTGCCGTCAGTCGGCTGCTGAGCTGGCATTCTGATGGGCGGGATGGTCGGGATGGTCGGATGGTGCGCTCGTGGTGCCATCTGGGCAGTAGGCAGCAGTGGTCTGGCTGATTGGACGTGTTTCGAGTGTTTTCTGTGGCGATGTGGGAGACGCAGTAGAGGCAGGATGGGCGGATGTGTGGCCATTGTTACTCGCATCCACAGGCTGTTATACGATGTGGACAGACCCTGATCTGATTCCCATTAAAGTGTTATACGTACATTTTTACAAACAAAGGGAATGGAGTTTTCTTGAGAACACACTGTAGCAGTTCTATAACACCATAACTGTAGCTCCAGACCTTAATTGTTTAAGCTGCTGTATCACTCAATCCCTGATTCAACATTTTTACATGCAAATATTCGAGAATGTTCCTAAAGAGATATTCTCCAAGGTGAAGTCTTTCAACACTTGTACACTTGTACATCTAGATTCTAGATACATCAGAATAGATGCGGCATACCATGCGATATGAAGGAAGTTCCCTTGTCATCGGCCGCCCTGACCAATTGTCATACGAAACTACTTGTATGAGATTTGTTCTTCTAACTAACCAGACACCCACCCACCCGTCCGCTGTTACACCCACAATTGGGATACGCCCCCACACTGAATGTGTGTGGGGCACACTTAGTGCGAATGTAGAACAAGCCCACTCTCGCCGTTCAGGAGCATGCGGTGCGCCGAAGTTTCCCATTGAAACATCTTTCAGCAGGGAAACTTTTCTCATAACATGCGAGAGCACCCACATACGCAGGCGAGCAACACAACAATAGAGGAGATATACAGATATGGGAGGCACAGTGCAGAGATACAGGAGCCCTGGCACTGGCGCACACGCCCAGCGGCGAAATCTTATCAAACTGACATCATTTTCATTATGTTTTGCACTTGCACACAGCTTCGACTAATGGTACAGCCAGGCTGTGTGGCCCCCAAGATGGTAATGCGGCTCCCCCGGTATCCGCCCCGCATCCGCTTGCACACTGTGCGCCAAATTATAGGCAATCCGGCAAGGGAGCACAGCACGCGATACGAATTTCACACACATGTGTATATGCGGAGTGTAATCTGGCGGCCAATAACTGCAAATTAGATTAGTAACGCCCATCGAGGGGTGGCTCCTCGAACTGCCATCGACAGCTGACCGCATCCGCATCCACATCCACAATTCAGCTCCAGGAACTCCAGAATCCTGAGGAGAACGCAACCTTCGAGCATTGCGTGTGGCGTTGATAAATCTCAACAACAAATCGATGGACAAGCGCTCCATCTCCACTTAATTCCCAGGATGCCAATATATAAGCCATTCACTCGCGAGACGAAACTAATAAAAATCATAAAAACTTTTCCGCTTAGAGTCCGCCATTACGATTCGGATGCTAGATTGCTATTATTATTATTATTTGTATTTTTGTGTGTGTTGCTCAGTTGCTCAATAGTTGATGCCGCTACGAAGCTGGAGGATCGATTTCATTCACGAACAAAGTTAAGCCAACTCGAAAATGATGTTAGAAAGTTTATCCAGTCTGAAAAGAATGAAAACAATATTTATGGGTGTATCGATAAATCTATTCAACAAAAATCTCTATGGATCGTTATATCCTTTTTGCTTAATTTTACCTGAGATTTCGACGATCGAAAGCTTGTGATGTAATAAAACTCTCTGTAGTTTCCTCTTTGTTGAGAGTTCAAGTTCTGGGCTCTGAGCATTGGAGAGACTTCCGCTGGTGACGCTTTGAAGGCAATCGCTGACGACAGCGTCGCCATTAATGTCGATTATTCTATGCATTTTCCTTGCAGGCTGACCAGCCGGAAACGGCGTCCAGCCAGCCACTTACACGCATCGTCGGCCAGGGAATGGGTGCGGTGCGGTGGGTGGAGTGGTGGATTGGCCATTAAATTTCCCGCTAATCGTAAAATAAATTATTTTCCATGTGTGTGCGGACAGGATGCGCTCCGCTTGCCTGACTTGGAGTCATAATTCTTGCATCACTCCCCTAACTCACACTCCCCGTCCCGCTCCCACCATTCACTGGCCAGCAGAGCCTGTATGGACGAGGGCAGGGGCAGGGGCGGTGGCGTTGTGCCACAAAAGTTTCAGTTAATTGCACTGAAGGGTGTTGTGGGGGGCAACTGTGGACGAACTTTCTCGGCCACAACTGGCTTTAGCTGGCTTTAATTGTTGCCAGTCGCCTCATTTGGAGCCGGGCCTAATCACTGGCGCCGGATTAGCCAAAGTTTGCTGCGGCAGTGGCTGCTGTCCAAGAGCTGGAATGTGTAGCACCAACACTGTCAGTCATAATTAACAACCCCACACACCCACGCACATTCCGACTCCGACTCCGATTCCGACATCGAGTCAAATAATACCGAGTATCAACCGAAATGGAAATGAAACAAAAGTTTCGCTCCCCCGTCAACGGTGGGACTGGGTCTGCGGATGCTCCAATCTGCTAATCAGAGCCGACAGCTGGTGAGAAGAAAGGGGGACTACCTGGCAATGACAGTAAAGGATTTGATGGCGAAAAAGTAATTGGGAATGCGCCGTCAAGTATGCATCACTTTTTGAGAGTGTACTTACGTACAGTGAAAGCTCGCTATCATCGGAAGCAGATGTCCGGGTTAGTGCCGGTTTCTCTACTTCGGATTAACATTTCTCGGAACGTTAAAGTGTCCGAAGACGAAAATTGGATTTCTCAAGGGCTCATGCGAGAGCCGGTCGCAACTTTACAATAATAGCTTTCACTTGCCAAGAACGTAGGGGACTCTCTAATATATGGGACGGGGGATCAGGCCAGAGAGCGTAAATTGCTTTGCAGGAGCCTTCACTGTATATGGAACGCTTGGGGAGCGCATAGGCCTGCCCTTGCTGTGCGATTTGTGCGATTGCACTCGAGAAGATTTCAATCAGGCTGCGGTTATTGTGTTATGTACTGTACAGTAGTGCCGCCACAACGAAGCCCCCTCGAAGTGAAACTTCCTGCTATCTAAATTCCTTGCGACACGTGCCAGACACAACAACAGCAGCAGCAAAGGACAATAACAATAATGGCCCTCTTCTTCCTGGGGCCCTATGCAAATTCTGAAGCGCCTGTCGCAGATCCTTCTTTGTGCCCATGTCGTCATCGGCGTCATTCCCCCGCATTTGAACTTGATTACCCATACTTATCCGCTTACCCGCAGCATCCGCACCGTCCGCAGCAGCATCCGCAACAGAAACATCCGCAACAGAAGCAGCAACAGAAACAGCAACAGAGGAGGATGGAGGATGGCCAACGTTAACTGCAAATCGATACTCGTCTGCCTGTCTGGCTGCCCTCTTCCCCTGCCACTGCCAGGCGTCTCGACAGCTCCTGTGACTGACTAACTGACTGTCTGGAGCAGATACCACTCGTATAATCAAGAGGAAACAACCATGAGGATACCCCCTAAGCAGTTCGACTTGTGCCAAAATGAAAACTAGTTCAGTCCTCTTGTTTTAATTTCTTTGTCTATTGATTGTCAGTAACTGTCCCTAGGAAAGGACTTCCTTTCTTCTGCCTGTGACATGAGCACAATCTTGACAATTTCGAGTACAGGGTATACCTAAGACGATGCCATGAGCAATTTAGAAAGTTGCTGGCCAAATGAATCGAAACATAAACCGCCAAAAAGGTGGCTGGGAGTATTCCACAAGGGACTTAAAGACAAACTTTTCGGGGCTCGGCTGAGGACTAACTGTGGCCCGCCAACAGGGAGAGGAGTTCTTTAATTTACAATGGACTAGGCTTTACACCTCCGAATGGGAATGTGAGCCATGCCTCTATCTCTATCTCTATCTCTATCTCTATCCATCCATCTGAGAGGCAGTTGTCACTAATCAATACAGGCAAACTTTCAATCCGAGTTTCCGGCGATAAACTTCTACGCTTCCATTTCGCTACACAGCTCCCTTCGCTGGTGTCGCTAGTGTGGCAGGATGCAGTCGCGGGGTTACAATCGACCACCGAAGCGCAAGCAGATCCCCCATCTGTTCAGCAACATCCTGCAGGTGGTCGCCGAGGCCGATCGCCCGCTGACCCAGCCCGAAATCGTTGAGGCCTTGGTCGAGCGCCTGGATCGCTCCGACGAGGAGCTGAAGCGCCAGATCACAGTCAGCCTACACGATGCCCTCATCAACGGCTATCTGCGGGTCAAGAACTACCGCTATTCGTCCGTTTCCGATCGATTGGACTCCGACCTTGACTCTGGGGTGCCGAGAATATCTGGGACCGGAAACCGGACCCCGAGGACGGAGGACGATCACTGGGTTCACCAGAGGCTTCTACGGTCTGTCTCAAATCGCCTAAGTACCAGCGATCCAGATCATCCTACGAGATCCTCGACATCTGGAAACTCGGGGTCGGACGATCAACGGGTTCTCGAGAGGCTCTCAAGAGCAGCCATCGTCTCGCAATCAGGTCCAGAGCATCTCGGGGAGAGGGTAGTGACGGCCACTGGTTCTTCCAGCCAGAGGTTACGGTCGAGCCAGAGCAGAAGACCCAGCGAATTGGAGTGAAGCAGAACTCTTCTTTGGACGCTTCGACCCAGCAGTTATGTTCCTAAAATTGAGATAAAATAGTGCAGAAATACAATCCTTAGTCAATGTTCGGAATAAACAGTACACTGGGCAATCACATACTTTTCATTCACACACACACACATCTCACATATGCTACAGGCTCGTTTGGTTAGCTCGTTCTATTCAGTAGACATTTAGAATTCAACAGATCAACAACATTTGGAGTATTTACTTGAAAAGATTCAAAATTTAACTAAAATACGAACCAATACAATGTCTTTGAAACAAAAGGGTGTTCTCAGTCAAGTAACCCAAATTTTTGTGGTCGGTGAGTGGTTCGCTGGGCGCTCTGTCATAATCCAAGGATATATCTAAGGATTTCCTGTTTCTTGTTGTCGCAGGATATACCCTGCGATCTTATACCGTGTACGAAGGGGAAGGCCCCAACAGATTTTCGCGCCGCACTTGCTTCGGTCACGAGCTATCGCGCTGGATCAGCCAGGCCGTCATCAATCGGTCTGAGCGTATGCTAGCCCGTACTCCGTCTCGGCGGACCATGAACAGGATGATGCCAGATCGGCTGATGGACTATGATGTGAACTCCCAGAAGCGTAACCCTGCCCTCGAGCTGAAGGTGAAAGGGAATAGATCTATGCCCCTGACCCCCGAATAAATGCTGAAAAAGCGCATATGCGGATCCTTTTTGGGAGATTGGGGAATGGTGATTGGGGGACTGTGAGATGGTGAAATTAGATAAATCATAGAATGCTTTGTAATTTGCCACATGCTGCATCCAACAGGGCTTTTGCTTGAGCTTCGGTTTCGGCTTTGGGCCAAAGGATTCCACTGACAGCAATGGCAAATTGCGTTCATGGATATGGCATTATGCTGGCTCCCGGGCTTCCTGCACCATAGACAACGGACGTTGGACGTGGATACAGACAGACAGGGGCTGGGACAACTTTCGGCAATGAACTTCAATGGTTCACTGGCTTAACACATCCTGGAAGACTATCCTGTAGACATGCGGCTGGCGGCCGTGGAAGACGGAAGGAAAGCGTCAGGTGTCTGCAGGTCCAGGGGCGGGGTCGAGTCCTTCGGCTTCTGTGTGCATTCATGAGCATTTATAAAGCTGCTGCCTGGCATTGTCCTTGCTTAATTGTCTGCAAGGACAGCAGCAGGTGGAGCAAGAGGAGCAAGAGGAGCAGTAGATGCAGGAGCTGGAGACCCTCTGTAACTCTGGCATACAGGTTGACAACAAGAAGTGCTGTCCTGTGGCTTCCACCACAACAGTTGTATAATTTCTGCAATTGTCTCTCCTCCGCTTGTTCTGCCGCATTCCATAACTTGGACCTCGCCTCGAATACACATGTTCGCATGTCCTGACAGCATCTCCAGCTCCGGTGGCAACTTCATTTGTGTGCCGCCCGGCAACTTGGCAAAACTTTCAACTGTAAATAATTGTCAGCCACTCGGTGGCTCTGCCAAAAGAAACTCAACCGCAAAAATGTTCTGCAGGCATCTGCGCCCTCCTTCTACAGTTCCCCCACATTTATGGTTATTTATATGCTCTGTGGGGATTAGGTTGATCCCAGGCCCCAGCCCCACCGTGACCGAGCCGCCTCCGGCCATTTGCTGCAGCTCCAATTAGTTGCCGTTGAGGATAAGTGTCATGCCCCATTCGGGGGAGAGCTCTAATGCTGCATTTCCATTTCCATACCATACCGCAGATGATCTTCCGCTCCTCTTGGCACCTTATCAAGACTCTTTGGCTGGCCTGTCTTTCGACCTCCTTGTGGCAAACTGCAAGGTTCGTACGAACCTCACCTCGGCAAAAAGTGATTGATGAATTACTTGTCATTCTGTCTCCAATGAATTTGCTTATTTTGGTATGCAAAAATAGTCTTTAAATTTCGAAGCTATCTCAACGAAATTTTAAGTTGATTCTTTCAGATGCCGACAGTATGAATCGGTATAGACAGGAATTTAATTAAATGCATGAATAGCTCAAAAACTGCAAAATATTCAACACGCAATTAAACAAACATTAAAATACAACGAGAGGGAACGTTTTGCGTCGCTGCTGCGGCCATTTATACCCGATACTCAGACGATACTCAGTCTCCTATCCGCCAGAGAAAGCACATATTGCACGACGATGAGTGTGTGAGAGAGAGAGAATGAGTAAGCGCGAGGCTGGGCTATAATAATAATCCGATCTAATCCAGACTCGACAGCCTAATAAAATATTTGGTCATTCTGTGAGATTCTGCTTTTCGGTTTTCTTGTATTTTCTAAATTGTGGATGGCACAGATTTTCGTTCTTTGTGGGGGCGGTATGGGGCGTGGCAAAATTTGAAACAAACCTGATTCAGTGTGATATCACTGGAGTCCGGATAGAAAATTTCGTTGCTCATATAGTCTCTGAGAACTAGACGCCAAACAAGACAGACGGACAGACAGACATGGCTCCATCGACACGGCTATTGATGCCGATATTCATATTCAGAAGATAATAAATCTACTTTTTATTGCTGTGAAAAGTGGGAACGCGTTGAGTACTCGGCGGAAAATATTTTAAGAAACAGAAAAACTTGCACATAAAATGTATTTTATAGTTATGCATATGTGAAAGGGCAGAAATGTATAAGCTTGTATGGTATTAGTTAAGTTATTTCTGTGCCAGCCGTTCTTTGGAACCATTAATTCCATAGAGTCTCATATTATAGTTAATTTTCTCACCCCTATTCACCACAAAATCCATCACCATACGCCCTCCTCTTTCCTACCCTGTGTTTGTGGATTGCCTGTCAGCTAGTCGAAGAGCATCGGAAAATAGTTTCACCTGAAGTTTGGTTTCTACTTTGACGGGCCCCCACCAATCATTGGTGAGGGAAGGGACCCCTTTGTTTGTCCACGCAGGAGGCTGCAGGAGAATGGCAAGCTCTGGAGGCTGGAGGTGTATTAATTGCAAGTGAAATCACTTTGAACTTCATTAAAAAGCAACTTAATCAAGTCTCAACTCAAGTCGAGACGAAGTTTGCTCCGCACCTGAGATGCCAGCAGCAGCCTCAGCCTCAGCCTCATCCACGCTCCGGCATTTTGCTGAATTGCCTAAAAATTATTAATTAGCTGCAACGCAATCACCCGACCTCCCACCCACTCACCAGGAGAAGTATGAAGACCAGCTCCAACCCCAACCGCCAGCTACGAGTATTCAATGCCTCCCCCATTTCTGCAGCTCCTTTGGTCCGCTAGCTCTTAAATATTTCATATTTAATTGCACGCGTAAGCAGCACATTTATTGCTACAACCAGGAACCCACTCGCAGCCCACCCACACACCTCTTGGGGCACTTACCTGGTGATGGCCTTGCCACCCGTTGAAAATTGGTAACATTAATAAAATTAGACGCGTCTGGAGGACAGGGTGCTTCATCCCATCCCCTTGCTATTCCCCCATTTACCATTTTTCACTTGATTTGTGCCTCTCCTCCTCCCCCTCCCCCTCCCCCTCCCCCTCCCCAGGCCCACTCTTTCGTTTCATAAATGGTCTTTAAAATCTTATTAGTGCTTCTCGCACTCTCTGGCAGATCAAAGACCTGCCTTAAAGTCATGGGCCCTGGCCCCCCCCCCCCCCCCCCCCCCCACCAAAAAAAAAAAAATCAAAAAGGAAGAAACCCAAAGAGAGACCCTGAGGCATTATCCGGAGTAAATCTGGCCAGGTGGTGCCGCCCTGGTAAACGACACTTTGATTAGGGCCTTCATAGGGCGGAGAGTCTATTGTAATCGACTGAAGAAATCTGTCAGTGGGAGAAGCTGCGAGTGGGAGCTTAACCCAAAAATGCCAATTTTCTTGAGCTCTTTCAAGCGTGGTGTGGAAACAATTAGCAGTCTTCTAAGATGGAAATTCTTTTTTCCTCTTTAACCTTGTAGAAGGTCATAAGGAACGGGTATTTAAATTTTTTTGGAAGCAATATTAACGGATCTCTTAGTGGTTGATTCGGTTTTCCAGGTCCTGTAATGATTCAAAGTTAAAAACGGGTTAATTCATTCATTTCAAGGTTGTACTTAGAAGTCAAAGTGTATATATTTTTATCACGGAATTGATGAATGTCGCACGAAAATCTCAGCACATACCAAGGGGAAAAACATGTGTAGTTTGATCCCGATACGTATCGTAATTGGCTCGAAAGGATGTTCTGTCCATCCTCAGAGTACCCTAATCCACATAGCAGTGGCACTCGTTCTCGGCTCACTTAATTATGCTGTCCTTCAGATGAGGGCTAATCTAATTCAATATAATTTGGTCACAGTGTGAACAGCTGGACAGTGAGACGATGCGGCTCTCCCGCTTCCGCTTTCGCATCCGCGTTGCATCTGGATCTGGATCTGCATCCGCATGAGAGTACATTGGGGGCCATGCGCTTCACACCTCTGAATCCGCTGGATACTTTTCCAGACTTTGGAATGTCTGTCACAGCATGTCAATTTTAATTTGACATTTATTTTATTGTGCGTGTGGTTCAGTGGTTCAATGGTTGGGTGTTCCAGTGGGCGGCTGGGGAGCTGCGGCTGTGTGGGTGGCTGATTGCTGTTGTGTCTGTGTGCGTAATAAGCCGCATTCGTTGATTTTAAAACCGCTTCAATTGTTGCCCTCGCATTGCGATTGAATATCCATTGAAGTGGACACGCCACCGCACCCCAATCACCGCCCCAAACACTCATCTGTGTGGGTGGATCGTGTGTGGGTGTGTGTGTGTGTGTGTGTGTGTGTGTGTGCGGCCAGCAATTTGATGTTGCGTATAAGGCTCCATCTCTGTCTACTGCTACGGGCAACATTTTGTGGTTTTCATTGCTGTTTTCGTTGTGGCAGAAATCCTTTTCCGTTGGCCACGCCGGTGGATAGCTGGGTCGCGGGAGGCGGGTGTTGGGTGGCGGATGGGAGCTGTTGTAAGGCTGCGGGACGGGAGGCTTTTGGAGACAAGGGGTTTGAGTACGGAAGGAAAGGCAGGAGCACGCACGACTACATTGTCAAAGTTTTGTGTGTCATTATTGTGGCTGTTGGCGGTTGGCTCTACACTCCGCACTGCTTTGTGTATACCATCCCGGGGTCGTCCGTTGTCCTGTGACGTTGCCGTTGCCGTTGCCGTTGCCGTTGTCATTGCCGTGTTTGTTGTTGCGGGGTTATTAAAAACTTTTACCACCCACAGAAAAGAGACCCGAGCGAACCAGGACCAAACCACAGCGAACGGAGTGGAACGGCAAAATGGTATGATGAGGCAACCACCGCTCCAGCCAATGCTCCACAGTTGACTTGTTTTCATTTTTATTTTGAATGTTAATTACTCCAGCGGTGACAACTGCCAAAGCTAGAATCTACCAGTAGTCCTGTTGTAGCTCCCATCTCCATCTCAATTTCCATCTCCAGCTCCAGCTTCTGGTCCCTTTGGCGGTGCGTGCTCATAATCAAACTTATTTACTTTATGTGACTTTTATGAGAATTAAGCTCGATGAGGTCGCTGCCTGATGATGATGATGCTACGGATGGGCTCTGAGTGGGTTCTGTAGAGAAAAACAGTTCATTAATTAGGTCTCTGCATGAGTCATCTATTCAAAGTCAATGAAGCTCCATCGAAATAAGGCGCAGTTGAGTAGTTATGCGATTATGGACACAAAATGTAGACAAT